GCAAGGAGCGTCTGGACTGTTCGAGAAAGAAAGAAGTCAGGAATCAGTGTTATAAAAAATAATGTGGAAGATTGGAAGGAATACGATTGCAAGTGTGTGTGTGTGTGTGTGTGTGTGTCTGAGGCCCACAAAACAAGTCTAGATAGCATGTGAGCATTGTTTGAATGGATCCTGTAGCCTCAAGCACTGTTTAAAAAAAAAAAACAAAGTGGTTAATGTCTACAGTTTTTAATTAATTATTTTTTGTTGATATTATAAAAACCTCAGCATGCACAAATCAGTCAGCTAATTCCAGTATTTTATTTATATGTGACTTTGCCCTAATTACCAAGTATCCTTCTGTGTGATACACAATCATGCTCACTAGATTTGCAAGGTATATGAAAATACTGCACTCCACCTTCCCGTCTAAATATGTTTACTACTTTATCTCAAAAACCCAAATGCAAAAGATCAGATTTCAAAATGGGACTTCACAAACCAAAAGGAGACCTAGCTCTATTTCATACACGGTCTTAGTCAGTCTTAAATCTTACATCAGTACATCTTTATAAAGCTGGACCTACAAACTGAAAAATTGCTAACAAAAAAAAGTAAATTAGCTTGATAATGGGTAATACTTTCTATTAATATAATATTAATATGTTTATGCTAGCATTTTATCACTGGCTTCTACCTCCTACCTTAACAATAGACAGCTAATGTGGCTACCAGGAAATTGCTAATAGTCAAACAGCTGAGTTACATTGAACCTCAAAGCAGATTCGAGCACAGCTTCTTATTTTTTATAGACAATGCTTTGCTTAACAATGATTTCACAAAGGTCAAAACGCTGTAAAGAGAACTTTACAGGAAACCGAGTGAGTGCAACAGAGGCAGAGGTGTGTTATTACATGGCTTTGGATGACGGTGATTAACATAGCATATTGGAAAAACAAAAATATCTAAAATCATCCATAACGATAATTTATAATAAATTTATAATCAATCTTTTTGAAAAACATACAGGTAGTAATTGCTGCATGTGTGACAATGCCCCACATTCAGATTGGTCTGCCCATTATTGAAAATATAATCACAATCTGAATGGATTAAAATGAGTATAAAAAAAAAAAAAAAAAGTGTTTAATAATGTTTGTTATATAAATGAATAAATTATACATTTCAGCAGGATTAATTCAAAATATTAATAAAGTAAAAATGTGCAACAGGGCCCAATTGGTCTTATTTTAAATCCTTTGGTGAGGAGGGATGAAAATAGAGACCCAACCTGGGGTGCCAATTCCTCTGCCACCCTTTTTAATAGAACCAGAGAGGGATTTCAGCTCCTCATGACTGACCCCAGGCCAGCAGGGCACAAACACAAGATAAAACATCAGTCGGTTGCCTCAGGTCGACCAAACTCTCTTGACTGTCAGTGATCTTGACTGTCAGATGTGGAGCCGATTATATAACCCTGACAACATAAGACTGCACACGCACACACACAATACACAGCAACACAAATGCTCTTGTTGAGCAGCCACAGGACAATCAATGGTAATGCTGAACACAGCTGCTCCTCCAATCAGTTCATTGAATTTTAGAAATCCCACTATTTGTACACAGTGTGATTTACAGAAAATGAATGGACATGTGAACACTATATTCACATTCATCTTACCAATAACAATGTACACATAACACATTACATATTAGCAAAAACATATTTGTTTTGAAGAAACCACATTTTTACAGGATTAGTGTTTCACTATAATCTGGATTAAAGGGGGGCTGTGCATCACTGCTCTTTAGAAATCACTGTTTTAAATCATTAAACTACACACTTTGACCAGAATAGGATGTACCGGTCTGAGGCCACTTCATACTTCACATGATTTACATTCACACAACATATTAAATATTTAAGTTTATCAAACAGATTCAAATATTAGACAAAGAAAAAACAAGTAAAGACAAAAAGCAGCTTCTAAATTAAGGTACTTAAAATTGCTGCTAAGAGTGGCCCAACCAGTTATTAGGTTTAGGGGTGAAATCACTTTTTCACACAAGGCCATGTAGGTTTGAATTTTTTTTCACCTTAATAACAGACTGCTTCTTTTTGGTATGCTGGAGTTTTAGCCTGTATTTACGGATGGCACGGTGTTCACAGACAGTGTTTTCTGGAAGTGTTCTTGAACTCACACAGTGATTTCTGTAACAGAAACAGGGCAGTTTTTAATTCAGTGGGACCAGAGAGCCCAGATATCACACAGGCATCCAATTTTGAGTTTCGGCCTAGTCACTTGCACACAGAGATTTCTCCAGATTCTCTAAGTCTTCTGATGTTGTGTGTGGTAGATGACAAAGACACATTTTTACATTGAAGAAAATAATTCTGAAAGTGTTACACAGTTTTTTGCAGATTGATGAACTTTCACCCATCTTTGCTTCTAAGAAACTGTACCTCTCTAAGATGCTCTTTTTGAAAATCTTTTTGACACATGTTGCTGTAACCAAATTGAAAATCAGTTATTTACTATACATGAAATAATAAAATGTCTTAGTTTAAATATTTGATATGTTTTTTTTATGTTCTATTGTGAAGTGTGGCTTATTAGATTTGCATTTTGTTTTTATATACATTTTGCACAGTGACCCAACTTATTTTGGAATCACTGTTGTATACTTAATTTCTTTTTTTTTTTAAGTTCTCACTCTTCATTGGTGCACAGTGTCTTCTACAGCAGCCACATAGATGAATCACACTCTACTACATAGACCAACAGTTCTTACTATTAATTTGACCTCAGTTGTATTTTACACATAAACATTAATTTTGGCCTAAAGCAGCAGGCCAGTTTATGCACAACATCCAATCATCAGTTTTTCTAACCACACAGTGCCTGCACGCCATCGCAGTTGACACTGGGCAAGAAGGTGGACACACTGCACAGGTTCCAAGTCTATCACAGAAACAATCCATTCACACACAGAATCACCAATTAGCCTAGCGTGAATCTCTTTGGATATCTGCATGAACTGAAGGAGGTTTTAGCACCCCCAAAGAAAGGCAGCTGGAGATTTGGACCCAGTGCTAACATCTGCACCACTATGCCAACACTAGTAGATGATGATGTTGGTTTCAATGGAGTCAAATGTCTACTCTACATCACTGAAAGTAGTATACCCTGTTTTAAATACAAATGAAACTTTGCATTTAGCATTTGCTGATTTCAGTTTCAGTCTATTAAAAATAAACTAATATTATAACTAGAGATGGCACGATACCA